CATAGGAGGGGATGATCCTTCTGGCTGTCAGTCCCTTGGCTAAAGCCAGATGTAATGCACTGGAGAGGGGGTGAAGGACGAGCTCACTCAGGGCAGGAAGCCCTGCTGCTCTGGGAGGGAGGAATCCATAGTAAGAAATGACTTTTCGATAAACGAGCATTATTGCGAGACATTTTGTAGTTGCAATGCCTCGAGGATAGATTTACATTTGCATATCACACGCTAACCAGTCCCTTGTGCATCATTTAAACTCTCTGTGCACAGGCAGTGCTCTGTCAGTTTCCATCACCCAGCTGCCTGGGCAGGAATTGTTCTGTTCTGCCTCTCAAAGCTGTGTGTGAAAGCAGAAACATTCTGTGCTCACAACTGGCTTTAGGGAACGGGTAATTTTGTCAAATCTCCATGAACTCAGAAAATACTTTGCCAGTCAATTTAACAGGAGCTGCTACATAGCACAGCCAGTCTTGCATTTTACATTAGTAAGAGTTGTTCTTTTTCCCTCTTTGCAGCTATCATCAGTAAATGTTTCAGGCTTTTGATATCCATTGCACAGTCCTCAGCAAAGGCATGGGTATACATGCCAAATTCTTTTGTCCATGAATGAAATAAGGATGTTGCAGACTGCTGTTCTCATTCCATTTCTTTGAGTCTCACCATCACTCCCTGTTCCTTAGCAGTTCCAGGTCAGCATGGCCAAGTATTAATGTGTTTGTCTGTCATTTTCTGTAAAGCATCAAGAAGCCTCAGTGGCACAGCCAGGTGCAAAAAGGACAGTGGTTATTATACACTGATACATAGAGTTTTAGAGTTGTGCACTGTGCTGTAGCAGAGTGTTTGTGGCTCACACCTACAAAGGTGTAGCTAACAATGACCTCCCCTTCCCTCAGACCTATGTGCATGCATGTGTGTTATGATGGACTGGTTGGTGGCCTATTGCCACTGGTCAAAAAGGCACGGTGCTCAGCTGGCCGTGTCCAGGCTCCACCTTGAGTTTAGTATCATCTTTAGCACTGTGAAACTGGAAACTTCTCAAAAGGGACATGAAGAGCTTGTGTGCAGCCATAGCATGTCATGGAAGGCTCTGCAGCCCTTCTCTGTACTCCACATGGGGACAATGCTGTGGGGAATGCAGGGGAGGACCTGTACCGTCAATGGTACAAGGCCAGCCACAGGAAGGGAGGCTTCAGGGCACTTCTCATTTTGCTACTAGTGCTGGAGGGAGATGGGCTGGAGAAGAACTTCCCTTCATATGTCAAAAGATTTGTTCCGAACACTTGAGGAAAGGAAGATGAAACATCAGCCTTCACTGTAGGCACTTCTGGATCAATTATCACTAATGCTGGAATCTAAGGAGGGTGTGTTTTTCTGCACGATGTTTATAAGAGAAGGCAAATGGGCAGCCACCAACCAAACTGGCACCGGCTGCTCATAGTTCTAGGGACACAACACACAGCTTTGTGGTAGCAGAAATGGTGAAAAGTGCAATTCCAAACACAACAGCTTCAAACTCCAGCGTCTGGCTGCCACAGGTTATTTGTGCATGGGTCACTCATTTACAGGTCAGTATTACCTGACAGCAGAATTATCATTGATTTAACGCTCAACAGTAACACAATAAATCTTTTATTTTTAAGGAGCAAACTGTTGTGGCAGGTGAAAGTAAATTATGCCAGGAACCCACTGCTCTGAAGACCATAAATCCTTTCAGAAATGTGAGTTTTCCACTTCCTGATAGAGAAAAGGGAATTTTTTTTTTTTTGCTCTGTAGTGGTTCCTGGCACTTATTTTATGGGTCTCAGACCACCATGTTGTCAAATCAGAATTCTTCCTTAGAAAGATCTTGCATAATGTTGTCTGTAAACTGAACCAGAGGAGAAGGTTGTAAGTACTAAAATACCCAACAAACAGCACCAGCTGCCAAACAAGCTGACGGGGAATTCAAACTTAAGATTATTTTTCTATTCTTTTTTTACCTCATTAGGCATCAGGGTGTGCACTGGAGGGAGGCACATCTCTGCTTGCCCGTGCCTGTCATGCCATTCACACCATCCCTGTGTCCCTCACTACCGGACTCTCAGCAGACATGCTGCTCTCATCACCCATGTGCACACTGGCAAAACCTGTGTATTCCTCTTGGCAGGGTATGATGTGCGAGGAAAGTGGTATGCACTGACCTCAAAAGATGCCCTATTTGCCCTATGCATGGGTTGTTCACATCACTGATTTGCCCAAAGGGCTCAGAGGTGCCTCCATGACCCTATGATACGATGCAGGGACATGACCAGCTGCAACTCATTGCTCTCTGACCCCCACAGAACTTATTGCTGTGTGTGCAAGCATGTCCCAGAGCTTCCAGAGCTGAGGATAAGAGTTACCACCAGGAGAGAGAAAGAGTTTACCCTCTGCTCTGCTGTTAGGACCTGTTGCTTCTCCCTCTTTGCTACCAGCCACCTCAAGAGGCAGCTGCTCTGAGCCTCCTGGTGAGGAAGGGCCTTCCTCCCTGACCCCACTGTCTCAATGTAAGAAGCCACCTCTTAATGTCGCTGAGGCCTGTTCTCCCCTGGTCTTCTGATGAGCATTCTCCATTCTGAGAGCCACCTCACGGTCATAGAACCACAGACAGCCAAGTTGGAATAGACCTGCAAGGATCATTCATCTTACCTCTTCCCTTCCTTGGCAGCATACAAGATGTCACAGCTCTGGTTGCCTTCTGGGCCTCCCTTCCATCACACCCCACTTGCAGCCATGCATGGCTGCCCATTGAAGTTTGTGCTCTTCTTCTCTGAGTTTTTTTTCCTATTGAACAATGCTACGTTTTTTTTTAAAGGATTTTTTTTTTTTTAATTTGGATTAAAATTTCCCCTCTCGTGATAATCAAATTAGTTGAGAAACTCTTTGAAGTACGTCTTGATAATAACAAAGTTCTATTCCTTCAGTGTTACACACAGCATTCATACAGACCCATTTAACATGATAACCTTATCGCCTCCTCAGCATTACAGAAAATTCTGAGCATAAGAGTTAATCAAAATTTAATTTTCTCCAAGTATGATAGATGAATGCTTCTGAACCCAAATTGTGTGCATTCTGCTAGTCAAACAGACACAAAGATACTGAGGGAGGAGAGAGGGGAGGGAGAAAGGGGCATGAACAGTATTTCTCATTAAATAAATCCCTATCATGGGAGTCAACTTGACTGTGATTTGATTTGTTTTTTTTCTTACTTTTACTCCAGTGTTTTCCAAATGAAGTGCAAATGGTTTGCACTTACATTTTATTTTTTGCCTCAGCGGAACACAAGATTATTCTCCTCCAAGAGTCCATTGAGCATCTTGAGCACCCCTCTGTACCCATGGATGCAGCACCGCCATTGGAATTTTCTCACTTGTGTTCATTACAGCATGTTCAAGTACTCTCTGACCGCTGCCTATGGATTGAAATAAACCAGATTAACATGAGCCTGAGTAGAGGAAAATAGTATTGTAAATGTCTGAAGCGATCTCCAGCCTCCACTGCATTCAGCTTGTTGAGGTGGCCAGTGGGATCTCACCAGAGAAAGCAGAAAGAATGCCAGCCTCTGTTCCCACTGCTCACATTAACTCATCAATCCAGAAGTCAGTGCATGGAGTATGACCTACCTTTGTACATGAAACAGGGAGGCCAGGGTCATGAGGGACGAAAGGAGGGAAGAGTCCTTACTCCTATTATAGATACTGTCCCAACTGGTAGATGTGGCTTTGATTTCCTTGTGCAAGCAGCATTGGAGGCACTGTGCTATCCCTCAAACGCTTAATCTTCAATCTGGCATGGTGTGAGGATGAGCACACAGGGGCCGAGCACAGTAATGCCCTCGTGGAATGTGGATGTGGTCTCATGGCCTCATACATGGCAACAGGCCAACTTGAAAAGCAGGCAGTGGGCACAACACAGAGGATCGTGTGCTTGAAGGGCAACCTCTATGAGCGGACCATAGAAATTTGACAGTGGAAACAATAAATAATAAATAAATCTAAACTCCACTGGGTTTGTGATTCTTGGACTGTGAGGAGCCTCCAAACAAGACTCACAGGGAAGACCCTGTGCCGCCGCAAAGAGGGGAGGAAGCAATCTGCCCATTTCAGGCATTTCAGCCAAACAGTCTCATGCAACAGAATTTCTGGGATTAAGGATTTGACTAAAGATGTCCCAAGGGACACAATAGCATCTATGGAAAATAAGTAGCTCTTGACCAAATAGTTCAATACTTTTAATGAGATTGTAAATTTGATTGAACACTGCAGTAATTTTGATGCCTCAAAATTTACTCTCAATAAAATTTTTAATTCTGTGCTCAGAAAATCCTAATAGTACAGGGGGGTAATGTGAAAAGGATACAGAGTATATTGATTCAAAAAAGAATTGATGGGGGAGGCTCTGCAGAGACACCAGACATTGCAGGAGGCACAAATTGAACTTCTGCTCTCATTCTCTCCACTGCCTGCAGATGAATCCTAGGAGATGAACGTTCTGTGCCAAAGCATTTGTAAATACTCCTGGGTCATGAGATACAATTATGCATTACACATTATGCAAATACAAGTCACAGCTCATAGGCAAAAAACTGATGAGTTGTTGCACTGATGAGTGGGGATGCTGAAGGACCGCTCGTATGAACAAGTAAGCGAACACAAACCGCACAGTGCGACGTGCTGGCCAGGCATGGCAACCTATCTCCTTAATGCAAACAGAGAGGAGCGCTGAACAGGGACTGAAACAGTTATAGTATTCTTCAGGTGCGTTCAAATGTCAGATGCAGTTTGGGATTCACACTCCAACACCAGAGAACCAGAAATGGTTGAGAGGTACCACAGGAAGTGCAAAAGTAACACATCCATTAGCAGAGCAGCATATCAGTAGTGGAGGCAGAACCTTAATTAAAAGGCAAGTTCAAACACCAAGATGGCATTTCTAGTTCCTGAAAGAAGAATCCTGAATCAGAAACCAGCCCTTTTACAACACAAGTCCAGGAGCTGTCCAAGCAGGTGAGCTACAAGCTTCAAGGCCAGGTTGGTGACAAACAACCAAGGAAGACTGCTCCTGCTGCCTCTTGCACAACTTCTCATCCAGTTGCATTCTTAACACTGACTTGGTGAAGCTACATAATGTTAGCTTGTCATAAAGTATGTACTTCATGCATCTTCTGGTCTTCTTCTGGTTCCAGCAGCAGGGAAAGCAAATTGTACTTAAAAATGGCGTAACAGATTGTGGCCACCACTGAGAGGCTCCTACCTAAGAGAAGGGCCACTGAGCTCTGAAAAACATGAAGAACTGTCTTGTGGAGGACTGAAGAGTAATAACACCACAGTATTCTGGTGCTTGAACCAGTGCTGGGACAGCACAAGGCATCAAAAGTAAACACATCCTTAGCAGAAGTATTTTAAACCATTGACTTTATTAAAATACTTAATACAGTTTGTAGAGGAATGTACTTACATTTTTTGGAAACTTCACTGAAACCAAATTTTAATTATATATTTAACAAATGACGAAACAGTGGATGGAAACATGCTGTACACCAAAGAATAGACAAGTTAGGTTTTTTTAAAAAAATTATTATTATTTTCCTGGAACAGACTCTTCTTTGCTTCAGTCTTAAATTTCTAGTAGCAGACAAAGGAAGTTTGCACTTTTCATAGCATGAAACCCAACTGGTCCAAGTGAAATTCCATTTGTTTTCATCAGGTTCTTCATTCAACCCTTGCTCAGTAGATTCCTCTTCCCAAAAAGCAAAGCAAATTGACCTCTCTAAAATGCTACAGGTCGTAGTGCAAGGATAGTTCTATAATCGAATATGAATGCGGAGCTCTGAACTTCCTCAGTCACCGCTCTTTCAAAACATCCATTTCAAGAGGAGTGCGAAAAAAGACACAGTCCAAACACAAGGGCCACAGCACATTCACGAGCTTGGCGGAATGCACATGGAGGAGAGCTGCAGCTTGATTCCTGCAGCTCTAACGTAAAAGGAAAACCAGAAGCTAGGTCTTGTTGAAATACAAGAAGCCAATGCTGAGAAGGAGAAAGAAGGAGACAGCTTGGACAAACCTTAAAAGAATGAAATGCAATAACTCATTTAAAAGGCTGCAGTCATCTTATAAGTTAGAATTGCCGTAGAACCATGAAGATTGGTGACAAGAAGTTTGTTATGACAATCTTAATGATGAGTTTCATGGAGGGGGAAATCTTTTTACTACGTGAAGAAATATTTAACTGTGTGTTTCAATGCAAGATGCACAGAGGATGCATAGGTTTTCACATCAACTTCATAAGGCTCTTCTTAGGAGATCATTTTGCAACCTTGCATAGGTGATATTATATCTTTTCTATAGACAATATGCAGAAACTATGTACAGAGCTTTGATGAACACATTTTTTCCCCTCAAGTTTTACCACAGTAAAAAAAAGTAGCTTATTATCTCCTTCAGTTTTCTGAGACATGTGTAGAATATCCCAGAAAGAGATGCTAGGAATGCCATCTGAGCGATGCCATGTGCATTTACACAATGGATTGAAACAGTGAAGCAACCACAACGCATAGTCCTAAAGTTTTCTTATGGAAAAAAATACACTGAAGGAGTTAATTTTGCTTCCAAAGATTAAAACTCATTGAATATATTTTAGCTGTAACAAAGCAATGGTCTTCACAGATCTTGCTGGATGAATGGATGACTTGTCCTGACATGCTCAGTGAACTACAGAAACAACCAATCAGATCCCTGTTTGTTAAATTCACAGTAAACTTTAAAATCTGTGATCGTTTGGTTTCAGCTCAGACCAGCTTCTCCATGAGACAACCAGAACACAGCTTCTCACAGTCAGTGCTATGGATAGCTGACAAGAGAGCCACTGGGTACCAATAATACGGCTCCTTCATGCCGTATGAAGGGAAGTCAGCCAGTGGCTTTACACAGTGTCACAGGACAGCCAACCCCATCCACACCATGCAGGGTTCATCTTTGCCCTGCAACCATCCCAGCCAGGACATCTGCCCTAAGGCACGGGTCTCTCACATGGAACTGCCTTCTCCTTCATGAAGGAGCTGTCTGGCGTTTCTTTTGCCATAGTGCGCCTGGATCTGAGACATCATTATTAGCACTGGTTATTACTCTTGCATATCACAGCAAAGTGTACTTTTTAGTAATATTTACAATGGTATCACTGTGGAGAACTGAGCCCTGTACTAGAGACGGTCTTGGAACAGAGACCTTAATACTAAAGATTTAATGATTTTCTTATCTACAGAGGAACTTCAAGGCAAAGCTAAAATCAGCCCACTATACATTTGGTGTGTTAGGTTCAAACAGCAAAAAAAAAAAAAAAAAAACCAACCAAAAAACAACCAAACAAAAAAACAACAAAACACTCAAAACACTTCTTTTCAAAAGGATGCTATTTACAAGAGGGATTCACCTCTTTAATATTTCAACAACAAAAACCCAGCTAATTTTAAAATTAGTGGATTTTAGCCTAAGAAGGCTTAGTTGTCAGCCAACACAGCGCAGAAACAACATTGCTGTTTGCTGTTAAACACAAGTCTCAGAAATGCAGGGAAACTATGATAAATTATACTATGGGTGACAAACCGCAACCAGTTGAATAACGATAATCGTTAAGAAAAAAGCAACACTTTTTCTTTTTTTAAACACAGCTTCTAAAAAGTACGGCATTCCAGTATTTTCGCAGTTCCAGGTTGCTGACATTATAAATTAAAGGTGAAAAGATATCCGTATATAAACAAGGCAGCCTTCCCTTGATTCCACTGTACTGTTCTTGTCTATACCTTTGGAAATTTCATCTTCAAATATCAGAAGGTAAGGTTGAACTTCTCAGTTACGAAACAATGTCCATCCATGATGTGGAATTTGGAAAAACAAAACCAAAGAAACCACACCTAGATATTTACAGCAATTCAGGTGTTTCTTTTCCCAGCCCTCGCACTTGCACTTCACCTTCTGCAGCAGCGTAAATGCCACCCTCTGTGCCTCATGAGGCCTATGTGATGGTGCGGGGCCTTTTGGGTGGTGGGGGTGGCATCAGTTCAGTGTCGGGGTCGAGGTGGTGCTTCCGCGTCTGTCCCTGAGAAGCTGCCATACACCTGTCGATGAACTCAAATAGTATCTCCTTTGTGACCGGGTTCTGGATGCTATTGCATACAGCTGGGAACAAAGAACATGTTGTGAATTTACTAAACTGATTTGTAACAGTATTCATTGCACTTCAATATTTTGAACCCCTCTGTTCAAAATAAACAACGTAATTTGGCTTGAGCAGTCAGCCACTTAAACACCTACTTGCACAAGCCTGCTCTGTCAGGAGTCAGGCTGTGCCCCAGACAGCAAAGCACTGCTGCCACAGTGGGCATCCATCTCTTTTGAAACAAAAATGGGCATGTGTATGTGCCTGTGTGCATGTAAATATTGCTGCATGCAGAACTATACAATGGCCAGGAAACGGTCACAGCCCCAAGCTGCTGGAGTTCATTCAAAAAGCGTCTGGACAAAGCTCTCAAACGTATGGTCTGGTTTTTGGGTGGTGGTGTCTGGAGCCAGGATCTTTATGGGTCCCTTCTAAGTTGGGATATTCTCTGATTCTATGACCAAATTTCCCAGTGAGGCAAGCAACAAGTAAAACAGCAGCAACAAACACCTTGTGAGACCTGGCCTTAAAACACCAACCAAATTCTAACATTTTAAAACAAGATTGGCTTAATATTGAATTGGTGATGTTGGAAGGTCTTTTTCAACCCAGATGATTCTGTGAGTATTTTCAGTGCTTTTTGTATGCAACTTTATACTCCTCTGATTAGTCCTCCCTAGAGACTGGGGAGGTAGCCCAGAAAACAGAACAAAAAAGCAAGAAATTAAGGACAAATACTGTAATTCTCTTGGAAATATACATAACGTTGAGAAGATAACGTATGGCATATAAGGACAAAACACAGTATGTATGCAACTTCATGGAAAAAAAAAAATCTGTTGGCTTTTTCATTACTAAACAACATTAAGACTACCTGAAATTTACTTCTAACATAGCTTTTTTTTTTTACAAATAACACTTAGTATACAACTTTCTGACTCTGAAAGATTTTTTCCTGCAGAATTTCAGAATCATTGACAGCATTTACAATTAGTAAGACATCATACTGGAAATATTTTTTATTATGCTTATTTCTGGTGAAAAGGTATTTCAGAAGTTTCACACTATGAGACCTCAGCTGTCAAAAAGCATTGTGATGGTGGGATGATTTCCATGATTGGAGTGTGGCGAGGAAGGAGAGGAGTGAATCTTGCTATCTACATCAGGAAAGGAATAGAATGTGAAGAGCTGTCCTTAAAGAACAGACATAAGGTAGTTGAAAGCTTATGGGTGCTGGTTAGAGATCAAGGTAGCAAAGGAAACCTTGTGATTGGTGTCTAATAAAGGCCACCAATCAAGCAAAGCCCATCAGTGAGGCCTTCTACCTCCAGCTGCAGGAGGCATTGCAAATGCAACCGCTTGTCCTGCTGGGGGAGTTCAACCACTCAGACATCTGCTGGGAAAGTAGCACAGCGAGGTGTAGGCAATCCAAGAGGCTCCTGGAATTCATTAAGGATAACTTCCTTAGTCAAGTAATTGAAGGTCCCACCAGGGGGGATGCAAAACTGGACCTGCTCACCAGTGCAAGTGAACAGATTGGTTATATTGGAGGCTGCCTGGGCTGTAGTGACCATGCTATGGTAGAGTTCATGCTCCAGAGGGATATGAGACAGGCAAAGAGTAAAATTAGGATGCTACATTTTAGGAAAGCTAACTTCCACCTCTTCAGGGAGTTAGTCAGCAAAACACCCTGGGAAACTGTCCTCATGAATAAGGGTCAGAGCAGATCTGGCAAATCTTTAAGGAAGTTTTCCTTAGCATGCAAGAGCTCTCCATCCTCAGGTGTAGCAAGTCAGGAAATGAAGGCAAGAGACCAGCATGGCCAAACCAGGAACAAACTGGTCAAACTGAAAAGCAAGAGGAAAAGGCACAGGCAGTGGAAACAGAGATGGGTAGTGTGGGAAGAGTATAAGGAAGCTGCTAGGCTGTGTAGGGATGGGATCAAGAAAGCCACGGCCCAGCTTGAACTAAACTTGGTATGGGATGACAAGAAGAACAAAAATGACTTCTACAGGTACCTCAAACAGAAAAAGAAAGTCCAGGACACCTTTCCTCCTTGAACTAAAACACAATTAAGAAATCCAAATTTGAGCCTGAGAATGTTTTGAAGTGTATTATTCCACTCACCCATGGCAGTGCTGTAGGCATTTGGAAAGCTTTTGTCTATTCTCTGTCTCATGAAGACCCAGCTGTTGTTCTCAAACTTGCACTCTATGATTTTGTTGTCATACTGTTTCAGTTCTTTTGTCACCTGTTTAAAAAAAAACACAATAAAACAACAGGTGGGGATAAACATGTATTTCACTTTTGCCCTTCGTTTTTTAGTAACATCTTACACAGAAAACCTGCAGACTCCACTTCTGATACATATAGACTCGGCTACTCAACATTTTAAAAACACTTTTCAAATCTTCTGTCAATATACAGCAATTATATTATACTAAAACACCAGCAACTCTAACAGAGGCAAAAAAAAGTCAGTTCTGGCCCAAATGCAAATAGGTTTCTATGGGAATAAACTGCTTCCAGTGTAAGCACTACTGCCAGCTGAAGTGCACAAAATGTATTATCCATGTTTCGTCAGCCTTCTTCGTTGAAAGTCTCAAAGCCAAATGTCAGATTTCAGTATGAGGAAAAGCTTGTGGAAAATCATTCTACTCTTAACTTTACTAAGGATTTTTCTTTTATCTTCATTTGCATTTAAAAATTAAAATCTTAACTCCAAAGTACTGCATGACTTCAAATCACATATGCTCTGACTATTTTTCAGGCCTCGTTGCACTGATTCTTAGAATTGTCAGTAATCAACACCCTGAGCTCTCTGTCTTTCTATTTGGCAATGCTGTGTGATCTGGAAATGTAGTTTACATGCTCTGGCCTTCCTATTTGTTTTGACTACTTCATCCTATGCATTCTAATCTATGACACAATGCAAAAAATTTCAAGTAACCATGGTAACCAGAGAACCTTATCTAATGCTTTAACAACTTTACCCATATTTTTCACTTTGTTTCAAAGAGCCTCTTCATAAGTATAGAGCTGTATTCAACTGCTAGCTGCGCTTAGTTTACTGGAGTTTACCAACTGAAAGCTCTACAGTGTAACACAACACTTCGGATTCTGCATCTTCACTTAAGTGCAGTGGTTATTTCAATTCGTTAGCATAATTCCTCACCTCTGTGGTCTACATGGGGATTTACTTCTGTTGAGGATGCAGGTTTGAAAAAGGCAGTAACTCTCTGCAGGCAGCTTAATAGCGCATACAGTGGAACAGCCCATGAACCAGTTTTCCATTAGTTTTCGGATAAAGGCAATTAATTAATGAAAGGTCCTTTGCATGAACTGAGTCCTCCTACGCTGCACAGTACAGGTCTTGTCCTTCATTTGATAAGGAGAACCATAACATTTTGCTTGGCATTTATGCTGAGTATTTCTGTTCAGTCCTGGACAGAAAACTCTGGAATTTTACTTGTCAAGTAAAAATCACACTGTAAGACAATTCTGTTAAACCTGCTTACAGCTGAGGCCTTTTACATTATAGGATTTGCAGAGCTAGGTTTCCAAATCATGAATTATTCGTTTCTTCATTCCATCACTTGTAAAGAGCTTTCTTCTAAAACCATTTATTCCTTAAGTGAAATCTGCTGATGATCACCTGGATAAAGTTACCCAATGACCCAGGTTGACAGTCTTTGTAGCACTCTCTGCACAGCACCTTAGTTCTTCACACCCATGCTGAAAAGCCAAATGCAGTCCAGACATTTGACTGATACATGCTCACAGGACATACTCCCGTTCCATATTCAGGAAAACACACCATTCTTTTCTAGCACACTGTATATACACACTTGGCTGCGTGGTAACTTGGGAAGGTATATTACTTTGAAAGTAGCTGCCCAGTGGCAATGGGGACAGTGGGGGGTATGGCCATGCAACTGATTTTCTGCCAAAGCAGGAAAATGTTAGAAGGATCACCTGCCAGGGAGAGAAATACACAAAACTGCAGGCAATGACTTCAACTAAATAACAATCTCTATGGCTTTCTCATGGTTTATCATTCTTCTAGTGTTTGGATGCTTAGAATAGCAATAAATTAGATGGCAGCTCTATTTGACTGTAGCAATTAAGCAGTATTATTAACTATCTAGATATTTGCTTGGCCATTCATTAGCAATCTAGGAGACAGATCTTTCTACAAAATATGAACACCTGCCAAAGCACTGAGTTGAATATGGAGAGCATAGTCTTTAACAATTGCAAGCTGTAGTCATTATTTTACAAAGAAAGAAATACAGCACATACTGATCCCTGTATTTTAAGCAATCTTAGTCTTATAGAATTACATACAAGTTTCAGCAAATTGCAGACATTTGATCAAGACTGCAAGTGCTCTGAGCATAGCACATTTTTCAGCATTAAAAATACTTTTCTACTAAATTCAGCTATTGTTGTATCTTAGTAGACTTCTACATTGTACTTTCTATGCACTGGACTAAACAAGCACACAATGATCCTTGTATCTAAAATTCACACTCTACATCTACTATCACCTGGATGCTGCTTTCTGGTATTTTAGCTTTAAAATGGAACTGTCTTGAATTTCCTTCTCTTTTGGAATTCACTCTGAGCTGCTCAGAACGGTGCCTTCTCAGTTCTTCCTTTGCGTAGGCTCAGCTCTTTTTCCCCTTAAGTAATACAGCCTGTAGGAGCAACTAAATAATGCACTGTAATTTCTCTTCTTGGAAAGCACTTCCTCCAGCTTCAGAGAAATGGGAGAAGCATCTCAGGAAGGATGGCAGTTCTTAGTCTTAGGATATGAGGCTGATGAAGGTGGGGTGCATCAGGACCAGAGGTCAGGGCCACAAATGTGTCATGGAATGGACAGTCACCAGCTTACACATGGATTGCCTTCCTCCCCAGAAGAGCAGAATACTTGCTGTTCCTGCTTGCATCTACTCTGGTTATCTGGAACCAGCCTGCTTGCCCAACAGAAATTACTTGCCAAAAATACAGATTAGCTTCCTCTTGGATGGTGATTCACTACCCCACTGCTAGATTTTCAGATGTGATAGGAAAAAGTGAGCAAGAGCTGCACCTCCTCTTTATCAACAGCTCTGCAAGTTAGGCTAGATACAACACAGACCATCCTTCAGCTATCTGCCTGTCCCTGCCAAGAAAGGCTTCCCACTACCACCATCATTTTTGCTGTTCGAGTATGAAAAATTTTGTTTTTTTTTCCCTTAGTCTCCCTCCATTCCCTATTTTCAGAGAAAAATCAAGATATATTAAAAAAGTGAAATATCTAACATACTAAATCACCTCCCTGAGCAGACTAACCAAGCCATTTTGAGATGAATCACAGCACCATTTTTACATGCAGCCATGTTTTATATTAACTTAGGGCAAGATGTGAAAAAAATATATCCAGCTGAAAAAGAGGAAAAAATCATTTACAGTGAATATAGCTAACTCTAGTCCTGTAAAAATGGCAGCATGTTATGATGTTACCAATAGACGAGGTTTTCCTGTGCATCTCTACACTGTACTTGTTGATCAGATTGAGCCATAATTTAATCTGCTGAGCCAGTCTTTCTTTTAATTAACACATGTGCATTTTCTTTTAAAACTGCACTCATGCATCTGCTTCTATTTAACATCTTTATTAACGATCTTGATGAGGGGACTGAGTGCACCCTCAATATGTTTGCAGAGGACACCAAGTTGGGAGGGAGTGTTGATCTGCCTGACGAGGGAAAGGCATTACAAAGGGACCTGGATAGATTGGATCGATGGGCCAAGGTTAACTGTATGACCTCCAATAGGGCCAAGCGTCCGGTCCTGCCTTTTGGTCACAACAACCCCAGGCAACCCTACAGGCTTGGGGAGGTGTGTCTGGAAAGCTGCCTGATGGAAAGGGACCTTGGTGTACTAATAGACAGTCAGCTGAATATGAGCCAGCAGTGTGCCCAGGTGGCCAAGAAGGTCAATGGCATCTTGGCTTGTATCAGAAATGGTGGTGAGCAGGACTAGGGAAGTGATCCTGCCCCTGTACTTGGCACTGGTGAGGCCTCACCTCAAGTACTGTGTTCAGTTTTGGGCACCTCAGTACAGAAAGGACATTGAGGTGCTGGAGCAGGTCCAAAGAAAGGCAACAAGGTTTGTGAAGGGCTTGGAGAATATGGCCTACGAGGACAGTCTGAAGGAACTGCGGATGTTTAGTCCAGGGAAGAGGAGGCTGAGGGGAGATCTTATTGTTTAAGTTGGATATCAGGAAAAACTTCTTTACAGAAAGGAACAGGTTCCCCAGGGAGGTGGTTGAGTCACCATCCTTGGATGTGTTCAGAAACCATTTAGTTGTGGTGCTCAGGGACATGATTTAGTGGAAGGTTGTGGTTGGACTTGATAATCTTGAAGGTCTTTTCCAACCTGAGCAATTCTATGATTCTATGCTCAGTTTCATCATCCTTACTTCCTAAGGAGCATAAACTTCCTGGGCAAGCTGCTACATTATATAAGGGTTATCAGTGAGAATTTGAGACAGTTAATATTACAGAAACTGTTTTAACAATGGATAATCTTTACAAATTCATCTACTTTCCTTATATTCGAGTTCTTTTGAAAGAAAAAAAAAATCAGTTTCTAGATAAATGGAAACTTGACTGAAATAAGGCTTGTTTCTATATACATGTTTTTTATGAAGCAATTTTAATGATTTCATCTCAGTAAATTGTCCACTTAAAAGATAGTGATGTTTGTAAGTAAAATGTGAACATATTCTATTTCCAATCTTTTCTCTCTTTAAATGCCTTTTTGTTGCACTTTCCCCTCTATTACCAAACATTTATAGAAAGAAAATTGTTCTTTGATGCACCTATTTCTATTGCTTATTCCACATGCAAAATTATCAGCCTGTTTGTGAGATCCCAGAAGAAAAGATCATAACAGTACACACAGAAAATGTTAACTTTCATGAGAGAATAAGTGAGAAAAAGCAGCAATTGAAATACTAAGAATTAAAAAGAACTTTATTTCTAAACAGAAAATTAAATAAGGAATTAGAACATACAAGCAAGATAGATCCTACATGTATTCTATTGAATCTGCTTTTTCTTTTTCTTTCTTTTTTTTTTTTTTTGAAGAGCTACGTGTGCAGTGGAGGCAATCTTTTTCAATTATGCTCAAATGTACCATCTGTCTGTTTCAAAAGAAGTTCAGAGTTGCCAAATAAGGTCCAGAGAGTAATTCCTCCTC